TTTTGATCCTCTGCGGAGGGGATGGCACCCCCGCTTCTGTAGCCCGACGACCTGCGCGCGAAGTCGAGCACTTTACGGTAGCACAGTTTAACGAGGACCAATACCGCACACCCTCGGTCCCTACGCAGACTGATCCAAGTGGTCACCCACCCGCTCACTGACCGCAGCTAGTGATGCTTGACTTCGGTGATCTGCTGGGAACCGTGTCTTAACGATCAGTCCACTGCGGGACCATAACTTTGCGATCAACTTTATTTGATAAATGAAAAAAGTTTGATTTGACTATCTTGAAAACTAAAAAAGTTTCTAGAAATTTAAGTAGTTCTTGCAAATTGTTTAAGGAAAACTCTATATAATAACCCTATATATTATTTTTCCTGAATTTTATTTTATACTATTCAACATGATTTATTAAGCATGACACCGGTATTGTGGGGGATAAAAGTATGCTTTGCCAAGTATGCGTTCTTTCCTTATATCATCACATTTTGTATACGGACTATCATTGTTAGTTATTTTCCCCCTTTGTTATTTCATTTTATACTATAATACAAAAGAAATTTCTGGAAAATATCTTATGATTAAGAGCTTTCTTTTAAATAGTCCAAAAACTTCTTACAGATGAAGACTACTGATAGAAATTTTTACTACTGCTAGAAACTAATTAGCTTGTTAAATTTACACGTTATTCAGATTGGGCCTTTTTCTTTAGTTACCAAATACGATTCACTACAAAATTATGAAGAAATAGAAAGGAAATAAAATCTTCAATTTTTCTGCTCATGCGCAGTAGGAAAAAAACTGCTTTAAATATTCATATATTGCATCATTTTTTTAAAAAAAAATTTTCATCTCAAAATAATAATTTTCAAAAAGCTAAAATTGATCCAAAAATTTTGCTTCATTTTATTGAATGTTTTCAAAGTTATAGCAAAAAAGAGAAAGAAGGAAAAAGGACAAAAAGATTCGTTTTTTATAAATAAAAAAACTGCCCCTATCTCTGTAAAATTTACAAAATTTTATGCAATTATTGCTAATTAAAACCAAAGTAATCGATACACGTAATAAGCTTACTGCTATTTTTTTTCTTCATAGAATGTTCAAAAATACTTGTTTTGCTCATAATTTATTACCGGTCTCTCATATCGCTGAAAGCTTTGAGCTCTATTGATGAGTATGAAAAATCACAATACTTAAACACTTTTAAAGTTGCAAAACAATCCTCGAAGTATTTCTTGAGAAATTTTTAAAAAATTCATAAGTTGAAAGCGTAAAAAAAATTCTTATAAGGTAAATTGCAAGCAGTGATATGATTACATGATCAAACGCATGCAAAATTAAAAAGAACTAGCAAAACTGTAGAAAAAACTACAATCTTCAGGTTTTTAATAAGCTCCGAGATCTACATAGAACTACTACAGAAGAACACTTCATTTGGAATTCTCCGGATTTATAAAGAAGGTACTCACCTTCTTTATAAATTATTATTTTTATAATTCGTGATCGCAACGCTCGAGTACGCCCTCTAGCGGGAGCCTGAAAATATCAAGCATTAGTTCCATCATAACCATTGCTAATGACGTACGCCATTTTCTTAGCAGCAAAATTTCCCTAAGGAAAAGGTAGAAGAACTTGAAAAAATTAACCAGAAAACGCCAAACATTGAAGCAGAACACGCCAAGCATTTGAAGATTACATGATCACTTGCTGTTACAGATGTGTATATTACGGTAAAATAATTTTTTCTGTCTTCAATTCATTACAAATTAAAATGAAGTCAACATTGCTTTCGTCATTCCAATAAATAAATGTGAATTCAGAAAGTCAAGAACTTCAATAGTTATAGAATATTCTTCTTTGTTATAGAACAGTATATATTTCCGTATCTATATAATTCGGAAAACAACAATAAAGAATCAACCAAATTACTTGAAATAGTGTCATTTGTGCTGATGATTAATAAATTTTTTATCGTTTTCTTGGTAAGTATTTTTTAGTTTTGAAAGAATAGATAATTTCAACTAGAATTCAGCTGCTCTGTTTTTAATCTACATATTCAAATTCATATCGAGATCTTACAATTATAAAATTTTGATGTGTGGTATGTTATCTAAAAGTAATAAAGGGATAATCTATGTACATATTATTTGAAAATAAAACTTTCAAACGAAGAAAATTTCATTTGGAATTCTGCGGATTTATAAAGAAGGTAAGTGTTATGATTTTTATAATTATAAAAATCATAACACTTACCTTACACTTGATGATAGTTCTCTACAGAATGGTTTTTTATATCTGATTAAGAACTATAAGAATAATAAGAAAAGAAACAATATGAAAGTTTTTATTTCAATGTAAAGAATTCTTAAAATCGTTTTTTATCCTAAGAATTCGTTATTTTCCGTTTTTAGTTTATAATTTTTCGATAAAAATTGTTGTCAAAATATTTTTTTTGAAAACGTAAATGGTATAACATTATGTGTTTATGTATACTTCTTGCATATTCTAATGTTTCAAGAATTTGCATATTCTAATGTTCATGATTCAAAAAAGTATGAATAAAAATTTGGTACTTATGCATTAACGCCACAGCAGCTGTAGATTTGGAGGTTTTTAAGTGCCGCCAATCTACACCTAAAATTTTTGTGACAAATCATATAATGAAACACTTTATTTAAATCAAAGTAGTCAATCGGATTTCGGTGGGAAATTGGCCAATATAGAGTTAACATAGATTCAAAACAATCTATATTTTCTTCTCTATCTTAACAATCTCCATTTCTGTCGCCATATTGACTCTAATAAATAAGATTCTAAATGAAATAACATTTCCAAAACGTACGTTTATCAAGGTAAAGTTTCATGTCATGGGAATTTCGTTTTTTAGGTGAAATATTTCGCTCCTGAAAAAACAAAATTGCATCTTGTTTTGTTTTTGGCAAATCCCAAAGACGAATTTTCTTTGCACTAAAAAATGGCGTCAAAAAAGAATTGTTTTTCTTTTCTTGCTGTTTTGTTTCGTAAGCATCTTTTATTTTACGTTTTTTAGTTTCTAAATAATAATTTTCATTGAAACTTAAAATGTTTTGATAAAAATTGTTGTCAAAAAACTTTTTTTAAAAAACTTTTTTTGAAGTAATATGATTCGTAAAACTATGGAATATATTTACATATGTAAAGTTTAAATGAGCCTTTCATGTTAAATCATAAAATTTAGTAAAACAATTTCTCGGACATTAGGTTTTAACTCTTATAAGAATATACATATTTCTTTCTGTTCATGTACAAATATTTTTCCGATGTGTTTTGGATGTTCTTTCTCTAAAAAGAGGAAATACCATTTTGTTTTCGTTTGCATAAGAAAGAATATCAAGAATTTTTCTTTTTTAAATTTACTAAGCCGCAATAAAGAAGGAGCGTTACAATGCTTCACACTACATTAGAGACGCCTCCTGAGTAACTGAATGACTGTTCATATAGAAATCGCAGGTATTCGTCTCATACAACAACGCCCCCTATAGTTCGTTCCGATCGCGAATAAAAAATTTATTTTGATTTTTATAATAAGAAATTTGCTTGCGAATAACTTTTTTTTCCTATTTGATGATAGTTCTTAACAGAATGGTTTTACGTCTGATTAAGAACTATAAGAAAGAAAAAAAGAAACAATATGACAGTTTTTTTATTTCAATATGAGGAATTTTTAGATAAAAATTGTCGTCAAAATACTTTTTTTGAAAATTAAATGGTACAACATTATGTATTTATGCATACTTCTTGCATATTCTAATGTTTGAAGTAATATGATTCAGAAAAGTATGGAATAAAAATTTGATACTTATGTATTAACGCCACCGCAGCTACAGATTTGGCAGTTTTTAAGTGCCGCCATTCTACACCAGAAATTTTTGCAACAAATCATAAAAATAAAACACTTTATTTAAGATCAAAGTAGTCAATCGGATTTCGGTGAAAAATGAGCCGATATAAAATTTAACATAGATTCAAAACAAACTATATTTTCGTTCACCTGATGATGTCGCGATGATAATGAGATAACATTTCCAAAACGCACGTTTACCTAGAAAAAGTTTCATGTCATAGGAATTGGTACATTTTCGTTTTTTTTTTTTTGGTGAAATATTTCGCTCTTGAAAAATTAAAATTTCATCTTGTTTTGTTTTTGGCAAATCCCAAAGACGAATTTTCGTAGCACTAAAAAATGGCGACAAAGATGAATTTTTTTTTTCTTTTCTTTGTTTCGTAAGCATTCTTTATTTTACGTTTTTTGTTTCTAAATAATGATTTCTATTGAAACTTGAAATTTTTTGATAAAAATTGTTGTCAAAGAACTTTTTTTACAAAATTAAATTTCATAAAATTATGAGGCTTTATTTATACTTTTTGTTCATTTTAATTTTTGAAGTAATAAGATTCTTAAAACTATGGAACGTAAAGTTTAAAAATGTCTTTCATGTTATATCATTAAATTTAGCAAAAGAATTTCTGGATAATAGAAAGGTAAAAATTATTGAGAAATTGTTCTTCAAATGTTGGGCGCTTTTTGTTTCAGAAATATTTACCAATGTTTTGGATCGTTTTTTCAAGTTTTCCAGCATTTTCCATACGGAAATTTTGTTTTTTATTTGCTGCTAAAAAAAATGACGTCCTACTCATTTAATGATTCTGATAGACCTAAAGCCTGAAAATAACCTATCCGCTAGAGGGTGTACTCGAGCGTTGCGATTGCGAATTCGGAATCTTACTTACAAAACCTACAAACATAACTAACTCTTTATTTATTGTTGAATGGCAAATATATGTGTAAACAGTGTCAAGATTCATTATAGATTGCTGAAACCAAAGTTGATACGTAAAAAACCGGCAGGAACCAAATTTACTACATGGCTGCCGTGGTTGACACATAGTTAAGAAGTGATTCGTTTCTTTCAAAAACTCGTTCCAACTACAAGTTTTTCATTCAATCATCAACAAAATCAGTCTGAAAAGTACGAAACATTTACAGTTCGTAATGATGACAGAGTATTATAACTTTCAGAAAAGAAGGAAACTTAAACGTTGAAAACATTTCGTGCGCACTTAAACTCTGGTTTTTTGAACAATCAGACATTTACGTTTTGCTTATTTATTTACGTATGTAACAATCGAATAAACCTAACACCTCATCTTTGTCATTTAAAAAAGTATATCGTAAGGAATATAACAGAAGTTTAATTCCTGTTTTGTTAATACTCTTTGAAACCAAATCTTAGAAACAATATCATTTCATAATATCTTTGAAAAAGAATTGGGATAAGAGTGCTAAAACCATAATCATTGCATGTTTAGAAATACAAAACTTTATAGTGCCGCTGTGTTTCATAATTAACAGGTAAGTTATATTAAAAATTGTAAACGTTTTTAAAAAGTTCATTTTGCTTATCAATCGAAAGTAAAGAAAATAGAGGTTGCATTTCATAGCCGAGAGGCAGGAGTCGACCATTATCGGTAACCTCCGTATCATGGGGTAGTTGGTTCGAACCTACACGTGGATAGATAATTTATAAAATGAATGATGTAATGTAAAAATTGTTATGTTAATCATGGTTAGCTGCTTAATTGCACACGAAAGTGAATATTAGTAATTAATTTTAATCATCTTCTCGCATGAAGTTTTTATTTTAAGAATGTAGAGATAAGTTTAACTTATTTGGTGTTTTCAATATTTATTATTAATTAAGCTTTGTGTTTGTACATAAAAAATTCTAGATATTTTGGCTTTATTATTAATAATGTAATTTTTTTATTATTACTTAATTATTACTAATGCAATTTTTGGTATTGATAAAGAAAAAAACATTTAAAACTTTTTTTTTTAATTTTTTAAATTCATATGGGAGTGATTTCTATAATAAATCCATGTATAATTGAAATTTTTCTTCATCAAACATTGCTGTCTAAAGTTATTGTAGTATTTCCAAAAGAAAATTTAAAAAGTATATATTGGGACAAAACATGAGTTAACTGCAAATCAAAAGGGTTTGATCTATACATATATATAAATATATATATATATGCATATAGATTTAATTTGTTTATTGAAGGCATTATTGTGTTTGATTTTGATAGCCATAACTACAAAAATTAGAAGTGTATTTGTATATATTTATGAAGTACATTAAAGATTTTAAATCAAGAAAGAAGAGGGGCAAATATTAGTTGTAAAATATAATTAAATTTGAAAGTTTTTTTTTATTTTGTCTAATATTTTTTTACTTAATTTTTAAAAGTTTAATCCAGCAATACTAATCTGAGTTATTTGGGCCTTTTTCCAATTTTTCATTATTCATGTCATCTCATTAGTAATTTTTTTAACTATTAACATCAAAGTAAAAAAAAATAAAAAATGAATGGCGCAAGTAGTTTATTATAAGGCAAATTTTAAAACCATCAATAAGAGAATAAATAAACAAATATTACTTATAAATTGTGTTACATTTCATAAAAATAATATATAATTAAATATATTGAAAATAATAAATTTTAACTGTAGGGACAAAGTTGAATTTTTGTTTGCTTATTAATTTAGCTATTTTAAAATATAAATCTTATTTTACTTATTTAAAATTATATCAATAGCAAAATCTTTGAGGAGGGTGCCCCAAATGCATATTTGATAGATTAATCATATAAAACTATTTTTTTTTAAATAATTATAAAAAAAATTTGTATTCTAAGACTTTGGCATGTTTTTGTTAAATAGAAAGTATTTTTTGCTTATATTGTTGTAATCTTTCTGTAATAGACCATATTAAGTATTAAAAATTGCATCCCTAAAATACGCAAGATATTATTATTAATTAAAAATTTTAATCACTTTGACAATCAGGTATAATTTTATAAAAATTATATCTAAGTGATACATTTAACAGAATAAAAGTTGACATGAGAATTTAGAAATTCCTTTTTTTTAAATATTGTTTTTAACTGAAGTTACTGTTTTTAGTTTAAAATGAACTGTGGTTTGTTAAAAAAAAAAAGTTTCGTTCATTGAACTTATCTCTCTTAATGTATGAAAATTGTTATGTTCAATGAATTTGTTCAAACAGTTATTACCATACATAAATTGTAATTAAGGAAATTAGTTATAAAATTTATTTTTCACATCCAATAAAAAGTTTTTTAATAAAAAAGCAAAATATTGTAAAAATATTATTTAATTTGAAGAATGGACCGAAGATATTTGTTGTAAAATAAATGGCAGTATAATGCTGTTACACTATCATTTATTTTATAACAAACTAATGATTTTTAATTTATTTTAGAAAACTGTAAGAAAGTTTTAGCATCTCAAGAGGTTGAATGCCAAAATCTTTGCTTAAATTGTGTTTCAATGCCTTTTCCAATATTAAGCCTTTTTAATTAAAATATAGATCTATATATATATACTAGTAGATCATATTTTTTGATTAACAAACTGAAACATAAGTTTCTATTTAATTCTGAAATATTATAATTGAATTATAAAAAAAAAATTACCTACATTGAACAGGTTATTTGACATCTCCATTTTAATTTATTTATGTATAAATATATATATCTTTATATATACTCTTATGATATTTCTAAAAGATAATCACTAAATTAAATAATTGTATCTTGGTAAAAGAGTGAAAAACTTTTCCTAGAGTACTTATTTTTTTTATGCCAAGAGTGACAAATTATGAGGTGCTGCCATCTATCAACACAATATGCAATGAAATTTTGTTTTACATTCTAACTGATTTTTAGTACTTTTTAATGTATTTAATTTATGAAGTTATTTGTTTTTTCATTTAATTAAACAAATTTTCATTAAATTGTTTAATCTTTAATAAATGTTTCTTTAATAAATGTTTCTTTAACAAGTGTATGTAATTATTTCACTCTTTTAATATTAAGTACATTTGTGTTGCATGTCAATGAAATTTTTTATATTCTACATTTAAAAATTTAATCTACATTTTTATGAATAAAATTTATATCTAAAGCTATGAAAAACGTGATAGTAATTAAAAGATCTACTTTAAAAAATAATAAATAAGTTTTTAGTTGGAAATATTACTCTTTATACTTAAAATTTATGAAGTTATTTGATTCTTAATGCAGTTTATTAAAATTTAATTCTCATGTAATTTTTTTTTAATATTATTCTCTTGCCATCAGCTTCTTGAAAAATATTATAGTGCTAGTTAATGGAAAATTTTATAAGTTTGAATTTAAGTGAATTTAAAACAAGTTGTATGAGAAATCTGAATGCAAACTAATTAATTTTTAAAAACTAAATGATTAGTTGATATTTTACCCATATACCTATTAGTTTGTGTGTTTTTACCCAAAATTTACTTTTCTTATCTTAAACACTTTTTTCTTTTCTTTCTAATCTTACGTTTGAGCAAACCCATTAAAAATTTTATGGCTCTATTTTTTAATTTGATGTCAAAACTGGGTAGATGTAGTTTTTTTTATGTATTAAAAAATGTGTTACATTCATTTTTGTTAATTATTTACGGTTATTCATTAAATTTAAGGTTATGACTTATTTATCAGACTATTACTGAGTTAATATAATAATTCAGTATGATTAAATGAGATATGTATAATACAAAGTATAATCATATGCCATAGTCCTTGCAATTAAATATAGTTAAATAAAGTGTAATTAGTTTAAATTATTTGTATTTAGCTTTATATAAAATAATATATATTTTGTTTTCAGAAATGCAGTGTCAGTGTGGCTCTACTGATATTGATACAGACTCTGGTCGTGTAGATTCAGTTTGTAGACAATGTGGTTCTGTATTAGAGGATTGTGGTATTGTTACAGATGTGCAATATATGCCTGACTCTACAGGAGCTACTCGGGCTGTTGGAAGTTTGATAAAATTTGACGGTAATTTTTTAGTTAACCCTTCTTTTTTTTAATAGTTTTGATTGCCAAAGGAAGGTTTTTAATAACATTTGTTTTACAATAAAAATCTTGTCATTTTTTTATTTGAAATTAATTAAACTCATTGTAAATAAATATCATGTGAATTAAATAAATTTAATGCTCTTTAAAAATAATTAACATTCTTAAACTTTCAATAATTTGTAAAAGTTTTTTTTTTTCATTATTTATTGAAATTGAATGGGAGTTTAAAATTTTGGAAACTATTTTCATTTTAGAGGGACCATATGGATTCCACCGATCAAGTAGTGAAAAAGAGTCTAGAGCTATAACATTATTAAATGGTAAGTTAATTTAAACTGACTTAATTTATATATATACCTTCCAGGGCTGATTGTATTATGGGTGTACCCTGGAATTCCGAGTTTTTCGTATCATCCTTCCAGGTCTAAAAACTTGGAGCAGGGCATGTGATTTTTCCAAAAATTTCACGTAATTCCACTTATCTTAAGATCATTGATTCGCGGACTTCCGCGAATGTATCAAACATATAATCCAACGGAAGTTCTGCCGACTTAAACTATTTAAAATTCAAATTTCAAAACTTTCACTAAATTGTGTTAAACAGACATTTTCATACATGTTATTCTTCCTCTAAATTGATTATTTATGATTGTCAGATTTTCGAAATTTTTATTATTTGAAATTAAACAGAAATTTGCTTATATCACAATTTTATTCAGGTGATTTTAATATCAAAAACCGATAGCCTGATTTAAAAGTAACTCAATTTTAAAATTGTACATGGCAATTTGCATTCAAGTGATTTAAAAATTCAATTTGGGATTTGTATTTATCTGTTTTTAAAATCAGTATCACTATCCGTATTCATGCAAATTTAAAATTGAATGTCGCTATTTGTGTTCACGTGTTTTTAAAACATCGCTTTTTGTATTTAGACTTGATTTAACAGTTACATATTGCAATTTGTATTCACGTAATCTAATAGTTATGCATCGCAGCTCGTATTTATGCAATTTAAAAATTCAACATACCGATTTGTATTTATGTGTTCTTTAAAATCCAATATCATGAATCATATTCATGTGATTTTAAAATCCGATGCAATCACGTTTCTTTTAACAGCTAAATTTTTCTTAAATCAGTTACTATAAAGGTGTGATGTTTTTCATTGGTAGGTAATTGAATTATAAATCTTAGTTTTAAAAAACTATATTAAACATGTATAGTTTATGAATTGGTATTGTTATATCAAGTTATTATCAGGGTTTTTCACTTTGTGTTGCAATTCCCCTTGAAATGGGATCATTTTATCCATGTTTTTGACTTTATAAAATTTTCATCATCTTAGCAACTTTAGTTGATACAAAATGCCAGAGCAATGTTAATATGTTTTCTTAATTGTTAATGTCATGTTTTCTTTATTTGTTAATGTTTTCTTTAATTGTTACATTATTGTTAAGGAATTGAATTCAATTTAAAATTATTTTTTATTTTGAATTACTGACTACTTTATAATTCCCTCAATATTTTCTATTCCCAGCTTGTGAATTGGCATATAATTAAATTGATGTAACACATTCAGAGTTTCTTTAATTTATTTACTATTATTATTTTAGTTAATGCTATAAACTCTAAAATCAACATCTCTGTTCAAATAATGTTTCTCTCACATGTATGCTCGCTAAATGGCCAATGAGCCTGTGGATGAATGAATGGATGCTACTTGTGAATGAATGTCTGATTAAAATATGTAAACCACCTAATAAATGACGTGTTGAACATTTCAAGCCCCAGTTGTTCAACTGTTGTAGAAAAAAGTTAAAAATTGTGAATAACTTATTGATTTTTTATTTTAACTTTATTTATTATTTTAATCTAGAGAGGCTCTTGAGTAGAAAATTTAGATTTGAGTGCACACAAAAACAATTTGAAAAAAAATAATAATATTCACTAAAAATACCCACATAACATTTTTTGTCACTGTTTTTGTTCAGAGATTTCTATGTTTTAAATTAAAACTTAAAAATTTCCTTCCATCTAAAATTTCAAATGAATAAAAAATAAGACTTTATTTAAAAAGAGTTTCTTAATGAAATAAGGATTTATGGAAATGTAATTTTTGTTTTCAACTCATACTTTTGAGTTTTTATGAAATATTGATTTATAGCTACAGCAGTATATATTATTGATATATAGCTACATATAGTATAAGTATGTAAGGTGTATTAACTGCACAGTGTGTATTTTTCATAGAATGATTTTTTTTATATTTTGCATTATATAAAATTTTCATTTTATTTTTAGCAAGGAAAAATATTGAATCACTAGCTTTAAAACTGCAATTAAAATCTCGTGCAATTGATGCTGCCTACAAATTTTATAGAATGGCTCTTTCAAAGCAATTGACTAAAGGACGTAAAAGTACGCATGTCGTTGCAGCATGTGTCTATATGCATTGCCGACAAGAATCCACACCTCGTATCCTTTTATTTCTTTGAAATGCTTTTTCTTAATTGAAACTAGGAAGAAATTGAATGGTGTTTGTTGTTGTTGAATATCTTATCTTTAATTATACTTCAAATTTAGTCTTAAATTTATTAGAAATAATGAATATTCAAATTTTCCACAAAAGCATAATTTGACCAAATGTATTTAGTATTAATAAAAAATTCCTGTTATTATGCTTTAAATTTTTATTCAAAATTTTTCGGGTTTACAAGTAAGATTTAAAGTATTTCTTGCAATAGTTGGAGCTTATTTATGCAAAAAGAGTAACAAATTGTTCGTTTTAGCGAATTATTTGGACTTTAAGTATTTTCCACCTCTATTTGCTGCATTTTTGAATCATTATAATGTTATATAAATTCATAATAGAGAACGAAAAAATTCAAATATTGACACTTTTTCTTTTCTTTTTTTTTTCCTTGCAAGATCTAGAATGCTAGCATGTGTGTCTCACAGTCCAGTAACTATTAATCAAAATAAATTGTGACCAAAAAGGACATTATTTGGAAAATACAGTGGATGAGATCAGATTTCCAAATTGATTATTTTTAAGTTAACTACCATACCTATACCTGCCAAGTCTCCTGTTTTTTAACGAAGACTCTTCTATTTTAATGAAGGCTCCTGTATTTCACGACTATCTCCTGTTTACGGGTGTATTCTAAAATTTCTCTATATTTGTTGAAGAATTAAAAAAGAATTTTGCAACCAAAATATCTGCTGTTAGCAAAAATACCCTCAACAGATAGTGTTACTGCCAGTACTGCAGTGCTATTTATTTTACTCTATGTTTACTCTCTTTATCTGCTATTTTGAAATTTTTTTAAGCCAAATTCTTAACATTTTCTACGATATGCTTTTGGACTTTAGTGAAATTCTCAAAGTAAGAGTTATTTTTCATATTATTTAATATCATTGATGAAATATTAATCGATAAGGACATATTTAAATAGTAATTGAATTTTTATTTTAGATTAATGTGTATGAGTTGGGGAAAACATACCTGAAATTATCATCTGCTCTCTGTATACAGGCTCCAATTTTAGGTATTTAATTATGTTTATTTCTTTTCTTTTAATTAAAAAAGATTTAAAAAAATATGTAAGATGGGGAAGAAATCAGTAGTTTTCAACTGAATCTGGAGAAATAGGGGAACCTTGAATGCTCGGGGAATTTTACAGTATGTTCAGAAAACTCTTGGGATATTAACAATAATTACTGATAATTACTAATAATTACTGATAATTCAAAGCTAAATGTGTTTTAATCTATTTATTAGACATTAAAAAATTTTTTCTTAGCAATGATTATTTTATAAAACTTATACAACAGTGCTCTCATTTATTTTCCTTGTCACTATAATTTCAATAAACAATTCAAATTATTGATTTTGTTCTTTCCATTTTCTGTATTAAATAAGCTTTTTTAAAAAATTATTTCCTACCTCTGTAGAGCTTAAAATAAAATTAATACTGAATATATTAGACATGAATTAGAATTCTTTATTATTCATTTAATTTGCGTGAAGCAATAAATGAATGCAGGTTGGAGAAATGAACATTTATTATTAATTCTGCATTTATTATAAATTCTTACTGTATATATATGTAAATATTTTAAAATTGCTCTAATTTATGATATAAAATTTTGTAAGATGTTAAGAAATTTTACTGAAAAAATCTTAAGAAATTTAGTTTGGTCTGGAGAGTGACCACCTTATATATTTATTGAAAATGTTCAATAATTGCTATTGTTTCCTTATATGTGTTACAGTGAGAAACTGAAATTAGAATATATTAATACTCTCAAAACTTAAATAAATGTCAACATGAAATTTAAAATTCATTGGAGAACTAAAGAAAATTTTCTAATTAGATCCTGCACTTTACATTGCAAGATTTGCTCATCAATTAGAATTCGGGGATAAAGAAGAAGCTGTTGTTTGTGTTGCCTCAAAATTAGTAGCTAGGATGAGATCTGACTGGATACATTTGGGGCGTAGACCGTCTGGTTTATGTGGGGCAGGTAATAACCTCTAACTCTACTTTGTTTTTAGAATGAATGGCATTGAAGCATTCTAAATAGTTTATTTTAAAAGGAATTTATTCTTAATTTTTTTTATTTATCTCATGATTATATTTCAGCATTGCTTGTTGCTGCTAGGTTATATAACTTCAACCGAACTATAGATGATATTATAAAAGTTGTTAAAGTTTGTCAAGCTACTGTAAGGAAAAGGTAGTATGTTATAGATTTCTCATTCCATTATTTTAAACTAGGTTTATTAATAATAATATAAATTTAGGTTATAATTATCTTTGTATAATTGCAACTATTTTCTTACTTGGCAACTATAGTTTTTATGCATTCATTTAATTAGTTCTTGCAATTATATAATTCACAAGCTATTATTTGCATTGAAACAAGATAAATGCAGAAATTTGAATCAGATTACTGTAAAATAATTATCAGTAGTCCTCTGAACCAGAAATTATTGTAAAGCGATGGTTAACTATTTTGGCTTTTTAATTTTTATTGTTGCGTTTTGCATTCAATATTTATGTCGCAAAATAACTTATTATCATCATTATCTTGAACATTTACCTGTTATCTGAATCTTTCCTGGAGGTTTCACTGTATTTATATAATAATTTTTTTCACATTAATTTTGATTTTTTTTAAAGCTATTATACACTAATAAAATGTGCATCATTAATATTATCTGTTAATTGGATTATTACATTCATTATTAAACTTATGTTTCAGATTGAATGAATTTAGTGATACTCCTTCAGGTAAACTTTCTATAGATGACTTCATGGAAGTCAATTTATCTGAGGAACAAGATCCTCCATGCTTTAAAAATGCTCGTAGAAAGTTACGTGAAGTAAGTTTGCAAGCATGACAATATTTGTTAAAGAGTCTATCACGTTTTATGATATTACATTAATTTTATTGCCTTTGTGTGGGTTAAAATTAGAATTGTTAAATTATTGATTCTCTTTTTTTCTAATTGAAAAAAATTAGACTTTTTTATTAAATAGAAACTTGCAGTTTTCAATTTATCATTATAATAATATATAATAATGTAATCTGGAGAATGTAAATATCAAGTTGTGATAGTATTGGTGGCTTAACTTAATTTTATTTTTAACTTAGTTTTTATGAATTTTCCTTTTGGAAGGTTTAAGTTAGAATTTTGAATTGTTGATTTTATCTTTCTAATTAAACAAAGTTAGATTTTGTCTATTAGAAACAAGAAATTTTCAGTTTTTGATTTATTATGACAAAAATTAGTGATAATTCGTGCATAATTCGATTTTGATTTCTTTTAGCTAGAAGATGAAAACAAAGCTAAGGAACTTGAAAAACAAGTGACAGAAATAAGAAAAGAGATTGAGAAAGTTCTTGAAAACTCTAAAAAGAAGTCTATGTATGAAAATATGGGTGCAGGTAAATAACAAATCAAATTACATTTGACAGTTTTCAAAATTTTTCCATTATAAAAAACAAGTTGAGGGTTATGCTGAAGTCAATCTTTTTTTCGACGGTTATAATTTCAAGAACTTAGTGTTAAAACTTGTTAAATTACGTTCAAGCAAATTTTGTAAGAAATCAACTTTTATGTAGATAAAGATATTAGAAATCTGTTCATAAAGCTCTCATCTTTGGTTGCTCAAATTATTTTATTCTCAAATAATCAAAATTGAGTTAACTAAATTTTAGCTTTTTTGCTTCTTGGATTGCACTCTTTAATTATTAGTCATTCCAAAGAAAGAAAAAAAAATCTCTCTTAATTTTTGTTTTTCAAACTTGAAATATGAAACATATCTATATCCATAACCTCTAAGTGTTAAACTACTGCTTAGTTAATGTTTCATTTTGTTATTTAATTTATATAAGCAGAAAATAAAATTATGTTAGTGTTAATTAAAAATGAATATTTTAAAATATTAGTTCATTATTAATAAATTATAGGTCAGCAATTTGAAATAAAAAATGTTTTTGTTTTACTTCTAAGTTTAAAGACGACACTAACTTTGTTTTATTTCCAAGTTTGTTTATTTTTTTAAAAAGCAAGCTACTGTTAAAATATAATTTAACTAGTTGTAAATTTTTCCAAAGTACATGCTTAACTTTTATTGAAATCAAAATTATTTATAGATTCTTTCTCTTGTTTGGTTACATAAATCTAATTGTCAAAGCTAGCAGTTCTTGAGTAATCAAGATAGTTAGAGTTCTATTTCTGCTTAAATTTATTTAATATATAGTTATAAATATATGCTTGTAAAAAAGGAAATAAATCATAAATATATATTCATGCCTCCAGAAGAATCTATTGACTCTCCTCCTACAAGCTCTCTTAAAAGTGTCGATATGCTTGTTGCTGAAAATACCGTTGACTCACTGAAAGACATCATACAAGAGAATGATTCAAGTGAAACATCCATTGATAATTTTGCCCCTATTTTCATGCAAGAATCCAACATAATAGAAGATTCAGCATCATCAGCAAATGATTCTGGTTATTCATCTCATATCATTGAACCATCTTTAGCAGATATCGGGTTGAAAGGTGGTAGCAGCAAGTCTTCTTCACAAACCACTGTTTCTGAAAGTAATTTTTTTTTTTATTTCCTCACTAGCAATATTTAAAAATATTAATGAATGCAATAGTTAATTTCGATATTTTAAATGAAATGGAAGTTTGAAATTTGAATTAAACACCAGCATTATTTTAGCATGTGTTTTCTTACTTTTGTAGTTACTTTTCTTAACTGTTAGTTTCTTTCTTTGGAATAAAATAATATTAACTAAATTGAAAAAGAAGTACCGTATTTTTCGGCGGAAGAGCCGCGGCGCTATCGAAAAAAAAGTTGTTTTTTTCCTACATGCGGCGCTTCCGATGCAGCGGCGCTTCCAACGAAATATTTTTTTTTAGTAGCAAAGAAATTTGTCAAGGAAAGTTATTTAAGATTAAATAATTTTCTGAGAGAAGGACTATTAAAAAAAATTAATAACGAAGTCGACGAAATATTCTCCTGTATCGCGATCTGCTGCAGAACATCGCCAATTCTTAGCAAACTTTCGGCAGCAGCCTGTAAGAAAATAAATGAACGAAATAATAATTTTAAAAAAACATCGCATAAGGAGAAAATTTAAAAGGTATGCATCTTGTATCCACCCCAGCTTAAGGAAAAATCGCAAGCTAGAAATCTATTTAGCACCTCAGCAATTGTAATTTAAGCAAACAGAAAAGGAAGAATAGGACCCTAAATCCGACACTCACGGGACTGACGAAATGCCGAACTTCGGATCTCTTTCGGAAATTCCAATATGGCCCCCAAATTTTACTATAATTCAATTCCACTGTTAATTTCAGAAAAACCAATAAATTTAGTCAAGTTTCGATCGTAGATTATGATGGGGTGAATTTAAAACTGGCCCATCTTAAGAGATTTTTTACTAATCAAAATAATAATCTATATAATATAATCAAGAAGAAATAATCAGAATCCTATGAAGAAGAAATAATCGTTTCTTCTTTGGAGCGAGATCATAGTTCTCGTTTTTTCTTTTAGATAACATTTTGTTTTAACAAAAGACGCTTACCTCGCAAGAAGAAAAAAAA